TTCAAGGTAGTATTTTTCCAAATCATATAAAATATTGTGTATTTCATATATTTATTTTAAGTTCTAGGGAAAGCTACTTTTTTAAGTTATGACGAAGTTGTAACACTTTTTCCCCAAGTGTATTTTTATTATTTAATTGCTTTTGAGAATATATCTGCAAATAATATCGAATCATATTACAAATATCATTTATACAAAGCTTCTAAAGCTAAATAATCCTCTGTGATAATTCTCTTGACATTATCACAGGTTTTAGGGATTACTATTTTCATATTTGAAGTTGCAAGAGATTATGAATTGAATAGTTAAAACTATTAGAACTGACGGATTTTTAATATTAAGAAGTATAATAGAATAAGCTCACTATAACAATTGAGTTGTTTATTAGTTTATACTTTTGCGTTTTAAAGATACTTAAATTTCTTTAATAAATGCAATAAATATTTTAAAGGCATTAAGAAAAATTTATTTCTAAATATAGAAAATATCAGTGAAATGCTGCTGATAGTAAATATTATTTTTCCTTGCACTGCATTGTTTATAAGAATTAAGAATTAACTTAAGTTTTGTGTTAAATAAAAATAAATAATTTTAAAATGGTATTAAGACCAGTCAATGAAAATTAAATTAAGAATCTGAATATAAAATAGAATTTAAAATTAAAATATAATCTGGAATAATGCTTTGAATAATACTTTAATGGAAAGTTATATTTGCTGATATATTGAGATATGAGATTGAGATATGTACTGAAATATTTTATTAGAACAATTACTAACTAATGAGTGATTTGAAAACAAAACGTAAGATCTGCATTTTCATCAGAAATAATTACTTATTAACAATAGAATTTATCACGTTGTTTTAATAGGTATAGGTAACCACGGTAATCATTCAGACACTGGTTTCAGCAACACTGTTTTGAATTTGATTGTTAATTTTTATGCCTTAAATTCGCTTACTGAAATTTAGAATGACATATATTAAAACTGTGCTTGTTTTAAAAGAAAGTTAAAAGCTTTTGTTTATTTTTAGAATGGTTTCATTATAAATTTCTATGTTTCATAACTTTATCACTAAACTTGTAAACATAATAGCAACCAACCACTTCTGTGATTGGTTTCCGTCATTGATAAAATATCAATTTTGATTTTTCCCACGTTTTGGAATTTATTGTTGTCTCCTGTTATCTCCTGCCACCTTTTCTCATAGGTCATTTGTGGCCCTGATAGTCAATAGAATGACAGTCTCTTAAGCGAATCAATTATTTTCTATTTTTTTGAATTATGAAAAAATGTAATTGATTTCGTTATCCGTTACATTATCCGTACATTACTTATTAAATATTTTAAACGTTTATTAACATGCTAAATATATTGAATTTATTTTTAGGCACTTTTTTTAAATGATCTCATATCTTACAGTATTTCATATCTTACAGTACACTGAACTTATTGTAGTAAATTGAAGGATTTTTTTCTTAGTATATATTCTTAATAAAATATTGTTTTCTGTAAAATAGACATCAGGAAACAAGTTTACTCTGTAACTAAAAAAAATATTTTTTTTTCCATCGTAAAAGTCAAAACAGATTCAATCTTTACTTAAATATTTGTAATCATACAAATTAAACAGATAATTATTGCGTTTGCTCTTCGTTTTTACAACATTAAACTTCCTGAAATAAAAAAAAAACACAGTTTTCACTTTTATTTGAAGTAATAAATATTTTGAATTATATATGCGTGCACATTCATTTCAGCTTTTTATTACTACATCACCAATTAACTTCTATGATAAATATTGAATTCTTGTAATTGGTTTAAGTTACATGTTACGATGGTCTACCTTAAGCTACGATGTTTTATTTGATTTTGACTTTATCATACATGTTTTAGAACTCTTATACATGTAAACATGAATTGTAACTACTGTCCCAAGATTACGATGTTCCAATTAAATGATCCCTAAAAGCAAATGTTCTTACATTGGCGGATGTTTTAAACTGAAAGTTGGTCTATGCAAAATTAGTCGAATGACGTTATATGAGCTATTCTTCAAATAAACGCCAATTAGGCGGCCAAAAAAAATTTTTTTTTGGGGGGGGGATACACTATTTCTACATGAATTTTCTTCTTTTTTACACCCTAAAAAGTCAAGAAACAATCGTGAACATGAAATTTTTTCTTTGTGACATATTTTAAATGTGACATACTCTTTCTGACATACTCAGATAAATCTGAGCCATTTATTCAGATAAAACGATTTTTACATAAATATAATATTATTATAAAGTCTCTCTAAAATGTATATATAGAGATTTCATACTGTAAGATTGTATTTTAGTATAAAAATCAAAAATCAAAAAATTTAATCAAAGTTCGTAAATTGAAAAAATCGGGAAAAATTTAAAATTGGTATTTTGTCATTTAAAGTATGTCACAAAGAAACAATTTCATGTTCAATATTTTTTCTTGCTTCTTAGGGTGTAAAAAGGAAGATAATTCATGTAGAAATAGCGTGCCCCCCCCCAAAAAAAATTAACTTTTGCTTTGCCGCCTAATTTGCGTTTATTTGTAGAATTGCTCATATTCAAAATAATTGTGATGATTAATTCCAGAAAGGTGTAGATCATATTTAAAAATAACATTCACAGAAGAAATTATATTTCATTCATAAATTTTATTTTAATTTCAGTAATAAGAGGTAAAATACATTTGTCAGAGATTATTTTGTATGAGATAGTTTTTGAATTGCAAGTATTACTTTTATACTTAATGTAATTAAGTAATGTATGCTATACTGAGCACACAAGCTCGCATATGTATGTGTATCAATAAAGTAAATAGTTTTTTAATCGATGAAGTTCTCTGTATAATCATATAATCATTTTCTAAAAGAATAAATAGTTTGCACTAATTCTAAATATATTTTATACTAAAAGATGTAGCAAAGATAAAATATAAAATAGATCCAGGTATAAGGGGCTTTGACTTCGCTTTCTTTTTACTCAAGAATTGTTTGTAAGGTTAAACAGTATCTTGCCTTCACAGGGCTTTCTTTGAGCTCTATCTAATTTACGAAAATCTTCAGAGAAAACTTAGAGGGTGGGATGGTTTTCGTGATTGAGAGGGATTGTCCTTTAATCCAGCATTCTGAAATGTGAGGATAGTCTATTCAAATTAAGCTGTAAACCTGTTTGTATCTTCGTGCTATTCTTCTCTAATTTGGGCTCTTCCTTTTCACTAGGGTTTATAAAACGTTCGTTGTATTGAGCACACAAGCTTGTATATCTATATGAAAAAGACAAATAAATTATCATTTCACGGGAGACTAAGATTCTATATTGTGTCAGAGAGAAACGCTCACTAATCGTCATTGATGTTATTTAGGAAATGGAGTAATTTTCTCAGGTTGTGATAGCATCGTGTTAGAGTCAAGTTATAAGGTTTCTCCTCTTTACAATATGTATGCACCATTTATATTATTTTTCATTTGTATACTATTTGAATTTTTACTATCTTACTAGTCCGAATTTTCTAATTTTCTGTCATAACTGGAAACTTTAAGTTTTTCTTAGTTAAACTTTTTGATGAACCTTAATTTACGCTAAAATCTGACCGCTTTTAACCACAATACGACAAACAGAGAATTAGTGGCTCAGGGGATACAGCACTTGCTTCCCAATGAGGAGACCGGAGTTCAAATCCCAGTCATGACAGGTCAATACGAATTCCGCATCTAGCTCGCACCGACCACTCAGTAGTGACCAAAATTATCCTCAGTGGTAGACAGATCACGGGTTAAAATTCTCTTGTTGTCAGGGTACCCGCGGAAAATTTTTGTAGTTTTCCTCTCCCTGTAGTGAAAATACGAGTTAATTCCATCAAAAAAATCCTCCAAGAAAGCAAATTACTCACAATACTAGATCCAGGAGTTCTCTTGTCTTCTGAATCTGTTTCAAAATTGCAAGGCTGATTTTGACATTGGTAGTCGTAAACTTACAATTGGGTTGGATGTTCAATGAAAGTGATAAAATGCAGCGAACAGTTTATGAAACTTTTATCAATTGGAATAGATGTACCATAACTCAAATAAACTGAATGAGTCTGGGTGTTTAAGATATTGAGTTCTGAAACTGCGATAAGAAGGCTGTAAGTTCACTCAAATTCGAGAAGGACAGCATAAAAATAAATTCAGGGTTGTGGTGGAATTCGAAAATTCTACCTCCATGTTCCAGAGCGTTTGATAGAACAACAATATCACTCAGCCAGGGAAGTCACGTTGATTTATTATTTGCGCTTCGCAATTGCGATTTTCATCAGAGAGACAGCCAGTAATTTTAATTTTAAATAGACTATTCAGAGAATGATTTTCATGTATATTCACATTTGTGATTATGGTTGAAAACAGGCTTGAATTTATTTTTAACATATATTTATATACAGCCCCAGAATAGACTGATCGTGAAACATGGCTGCCAGTTGATCACCGAAGTCAAGCATCACTTCCAGCGGTCAGTGAGCAGGTGGGTGACCACTTTTATCAGCACGCGAAGGGATTAAGAGGGTATTGGTGCTCCTTAAATTTTCTATCGCAAAAGGTTCGGCATCGCGTGCATGATGTTGGGCTGCCGAAGCGAAATCATATCCTCAGCAGAGGATCAAAATTGGGATGGCATACCTTCGTATAATCCTCAGACATATTTCTCAGGCCGTCGTCAATTGCCTGTTGTGTAGCTCTAGTGCAAAACAACTAAAAATACTATTGCTCACAGCGGTATCACCGGCCTGTGCAAAGCGTGGAGGTAGCGGGTTCGAATCTCACCGTAACCCTAGATGTATTCTTCGTGGTGTCCTTCTTTAAATTGTTCTATCTGCCTTTCTACCTGAGTCCCACAGTTGAATGATCGTAGAGACATTGTTCCCAGTAGAGCATCGAAGTCAAGCATCACTGACTGCGGTCAGTAAACGGGTGGGTCACCACTTTGATTAGCCTGCATAGGGACCGCGGTATCGGTCCTCGTTAAACTGTTAATTAACAGTGCTCGTTAAACTGTTAAACTGTTATATTAAAGTGGAGGAGTCATCCCCTCTGCAGAGAATCAAAATTGCGATGGCATGTCCTTGGATTATCCTCGGTGATGTTTCCCAAATCATGATCAATAGTCCATTATGCAGCTCTAATGCGATGTAAATAAAAGTACTTGCTTACCTACCTTCTACTTGGTAAAGGTTTATAAGCCTTAGTTGAGCACAGAAGCCTGCAAATGTATGCAATTTCAATAAAGCAATGCTACTGCTTAATGTGTATCTAAACTCAATTTTATGTATCATGAGCGGGAAAAAAATTATGGAATCACCATTTAACTATTATTGAGATAATCGAGTTATTTAGGCAAAACAAATCATAACTTTGTTGAATTGCGAAGATCCCATTCTAAACGTTAATATGGATTGTTTGTAATCTTTCATTGTGGAATTTTTTTGCTTGCAAGAAATATCATAGACAAAGCAAACAATAAAAGAAATCCTATTCAGCATGATAATGTGAGTTTTAAATCAAACGTGAAAGTTTAAAGGTAATTTTTTGCTCAAAGCTGTGTAAGATCAAAAAAAATAAATTAATAAATAAACAAGCTCGAAAGTAAACTATTTTATACAAAAGAATGATTACCTTGTTGCCTTGTTCACCCAGGAACCCTGTGTTAGGGAAAGCGGAACTGACTTTAGCCTATTATCTTGCTCAAGTTTTGTGAAAGACGAGAACTTTGAGACGGAGAAAGACTTTGCGGTGGAACATTAAAATTGGATATCACAGAATTTCTAGATGTGTGCCGATCTTCAAAAAAAGGTATGTTTTGAAAGCAATGTTCTATAACTAAGACTATTATTGTATTCTAAGAGTCATGGAGTTATTTGTATTTTTTTAAATTAAGATATTATAAAAACTTTAGTGAAGTACAAAATTAATGCATGGTAAATAAGTTTCGACAATGTCGAATATTTTAATTTAAGGGGAAACTTAAAGTTGTTCCGACTATCTCTCTATCTTATAAGAACGTAGGTGTCGACCACATTGCTTTCGATCATTTGGACGTCATTGCATAATGTTAAATTTTTGCGTCACAGAAACTATGACTTAGAAACTTGAAATTGCAAATGTTTGTAAAATAATGTATAGTTAGTTTAAAATTAAAATTTAATAATTCGTTCGATAATAATTAACTGACAAAGTTATGGGATAAAATATCATTAGGTCTCTCTACAGATTGCAGAAATGCAACTACAGAGTTGAAATTTGACATGTTAAAAAGGCCGTTTTCGTTTATGATTTTAACACGAACTTTTTTTCTTCCAAATTCTAATTTATTTGAATTTCCACTTTAATTTTGCTTTATGCTACATTTTGTTTCGTTTAGCAGAATCCACGAGCTTTAGAAACTTCTAATTACGAATGTTTGTAAGAAAATTTACAAGTCATTCGATGATTAAGAAAAAGTAAGACTCAACTATCAGTTCCAGAATTATTAACCGTGAAACTTGTAGTAGAAAAAAAGGATTTTGATCTACCGCCAGATAGTATGCAACTACATAGTTGAAATTTAAGTGTTGAAAAGGTCTATTTTATTAGAAACTTGATGCGATTGTTTTTCTAAATTTTAATTTGCTCGAAAGTTATAGCAGTTTTAATTGCTTTTTGCTGTGATTTCTTTCACTTTGTTTGCTTTAAATAATGACTATTTATCCGTATATTTAAAAAAAAACGTAACTCTAAAGATAGTTTAATTTTAACAGCTCACACTTGACATTAAAATTAAAAGAAAAATAAATAAAATAAAACAAAGAAAATTAGAGAAAAAGATTAGATGTTGCCAAATGTAAATCATTATATTTATATAGATTTTTTAAAAAAAATAATAGTATCACGAGAATTAAAAACTGTAACAAAAATAAACAAAATAAACATAAATAAACAAAATTATTTCTCATCTATTGTTTCTTATTGTTTGACTCATTTTTAATTCCTGAGGTTTAATCCATTTTTTTCAAACACAGGCAATCGTTCATTTTGTTGCGCTCATTTCGTTACATTTGTTAACAATCGTTAGCTTCGTTTTTTAACAATTTGTTAACGATTGTTCGACAATCGTTTATTTTGTTACATTTTGTTAACAATCGTTAATTTCGCTTCTTAACAATTCGTTGACGATCGTTCGACAATCATTCATTTCGCTGCATTTTGTTAACATTTCAACAAAATGTTCGTTCTTACAAAAAGTTATTACTTAATATTTTCTATACAAAATAAATTTTCTTTCTGAAAAATTTAAATTTTTTGGTAAAAAACAAACAAAATAAATTTAATGAGAGAACATTGATGAGCAAAAATAATGGTGAGAGGAGCCTCCTAATGATAAGAAAAAAGGTTGAAATAGATTAATGATAAATGCTACGTATAAATAACTAGGAAAATCGAGTAAGATTCTAATTGTGCATTTATAAGTCTATAAAAAACAGTAGAAAATTGCATTATCTTCTTAAGGCTCTTCCAAAAGCTTTCGAGGTCAAGACTTGTGATCGTAGCATGATGGTTCATTTCTTTAGTAAACATTAACTTGATGGCCCCGAAACGCCATAGTGATCTCTCTTCTTTATTTCGAAGTTTTTCACCGACAGACATAGTTTAATGAACTGTTTAAATAACTGACAAAAATAACTCAATATTGAAATTTGATGTAGAGCAACTAATTCTATTATTTTGTACCTTCAAACACTTACTATTAAACAGCCAATAAAGAGTTGAGACAGAAAGTGCTTAAGTTGATTAATTTGAACTACTGTACATAAGTTGTTTACTATTTTTTTAAAAAATATAACCGAAATCAGTCGCATCGATGTAGTTAAATTTTGTGATTTTTGTTTTAAATTTGGAATTAATTTTAATTAGCAAAATACATGCCAACTTCACAAATAATTTTTGTCCTTATCGCAATGCATTCACCAAAAAAACATATATACATATTTTAAAGTATAAATTTTATGTTTAAAATTCCTGGTTTTATAGTAGAACTGTTAATACAGATTAATCAATTAAACTACTTCCATAAAATACTGTGTTTTAAAAGATTAAATTCTCTAATTGTTAACTTTGTTGATTTTTAGCTGTAATTGTTAATTGTTAGTTTGTTTTAATTGGAGTTACCATTAAAATCGTATTTAAAAAAAGGAGTTAAGGATTAATAAAAAGACTAGTTAATGATTGTATAATTTTATTAAGTTATTCAGAGAAAATGCTTAAAAGTTTCGGAAGCTCTGATAAATGTTAAGCGATGTATTTTGTAAGAGCACCAAGTTCCTGCCCTTTCTATTAAAAAAATTGTTTTCAGTTTCTGAAAATTAGGAGAGTGATTAAAGTTTGCTTTAGAGAAAAAGTAAGATAAAAATAAGACTGGATTATACCATCAGCAAAAGTTCATTATAAAAATTGAACATAAAAAGTTTGTTTCCTCTTTTTCTCTTTAAAAGGAACTCGGATATTCTGATATTGAGTTTTGATTCAACTGATGAGTAAGACGAAATATTAATGATTAATTAAGCTGAGCTCTAATTAAAAAAAGCCAGTTAAGTTTAGCAACATTAAATCAGTTAAAACTTTTGAAGATATTTTAGTTTAGCTTGGCTTAATGTCTAGTGCACAATATAAAAGAGTAATTACATTAAATAACTTTTGATCTAATGATCGGATCTTCACGTAGTGGAATTCAATCTTGAAAATTCAATGGGTGAACTCAAATATGCTAATTAATCAGTGCAGACGATATTTCAAGTGACAAAATCGGATACAAAACGTACTTTCCTTTAATAAACATACCTTATTTTCAACAGATTCGGATGCATGACCCCCAAAATATAGGGGGGTAGCCGCAATTTGAATGGTATCCGTTAATGTCCAGAACACATCTCCAGAACTTTTTAAGCGAGTTGAAATTTTTTTTTTAACGAAATTATAAAATTTATTTATCCAAAGATAATTCCATACGAAATATATTTTTTAGTTAATGTTCATTGCTTTTTATTATTTTATTTAATAATAGTCGAAAATTCATTGAATTGTAAGGTATGAAATTTTTTGGCATTTTTTTTTAAAGAATGTAATTTCAGAAAACATTATCACAATTTGAGCAAATTCAGTTGAATAGTTCGTGAAAAATCAACTTTGAAATAAATCCTATTTTTCTGGTAATTCAGTTTCTCCGGAACTATTACCGATTTCTCTCAAATTTAGTATTCTGTTGTGTAAAAATACATTTTTAGAGAGATGCGCAAAAAAATTTTATACCTTAGAATGCAAAATATTTTCGACTATTATTAAATAAAATAATAAATATTTACTAAAAGTTATATTTTGTGGGAAATTCTTTTTGGATATACAAATTTTCCAATTGTGTCCAAAAACTTTTCAATTCGCTTAAAAAGTTTTCGAGATAAAGTGAAATGCATAAAAAATAAAATTACCATTAAGAGGGAGGTCTAAATTTTTGACGGCTCTCCTGACCAAATTATTAGGTTCATCTTACCCCGATTGCGGCTATTCCTTATATTTTGGTTGTCAGAAATCCAAATTCGTCGACAAAAAAGTATGCTATTAAAAAAAAAAAAACGTTTTTGTGTCTGATTTTGGTACTTTAAATATCGTCTTGAACCAATTAACATATTTGTGGTCACCCTCTCGAACCATTAAGAGTGAGTCCCAATACATGAAAATCCGATCACTGGATCAAAAGTTATTCATGATAATTAATTATTCATATTCCTCTAATGATGTCTATTCATTCCCCTAATTGATTATATCGAGTTAATTTGGATTTTAATATCTATGCTACAATTAATTATTATCCCGATTAAAGTCGGGTACTGCAAAATAGTCAGTAAGTAGTTAGTTTTTCGGAGTACGAATACATCCTGCTTTGTTTGGCAGTTTTCCAAGTTTTGTAAGACAGCTTTCGCATTGGATGGCAGATTTTTTTAAAATTGTAAATTTCAAATTTTTGTCCAATATTACGTTTGTAACTGTGATCATAGATTCTTAATAAAGAAAGATAATTCAGCTTCATGATTCGTGAAGTGTAGCGGGTACTAAAAAAAAAGGAATATTTTGAAGCAACTGCTCTTACATTTCGAATGGTTTGTAATATTTTTAAAGTAGCTGAGCATCCAACTGGTCAACGGCGTTGAAAAAGTTGAAACCGTTATAATATATCTTATTCTTAATTTTCTTTAAATATTGGAATAAAAAAGATGAATTTTAGCAGTTTTCTTCCTTTAAAAAATTGGTATTGGAAGGGATCAAAAAATTTATGTCAAACACCTACTTCTTTATTTTAGTTTGTTCTTTCTGTGATATTAATTGAGGGTACCTATGTGAAATTTTTATAAAAAAAGTCTTCTAGTTTCTTGATTCGTTATACGTGAGAAAGTTTTCTAAGAGAATTAGCTGGAGCTGGTAAAAATGAGAAAGAATTAGTAATTTCGAGGATGCCGTTTTTGATTAGAAAGATACATCAATTTTGATGCAGCTCTTTTTGATTAAAAAGATAAAGCACTTTTTTCCCAGTACGCGTATTAGAAGTTTTATTCATCATAGTCACACACGCATAACTTCAATTTTCTTCTGATTTGATACACACTTTTGTAGACATCCAAGATATAAAAACGTGATTTTTCTTACGTATTGCAAATAGTTACAAGAGTCATTATTGTGTTTAAAAGTAATAAGAGTTTCAGTTAAGAAACGGGAACACAATACTGTTTCACAGTCATTATACATGACTATAAATATGTGTTATAGAA